TCTACACAGTACCCAGTATCAGCTATAAAACATGTGGCAGGTAGGTATATTTAAATAACTGCAGAGAAATACCCCAAAAAGCTTTACACAAGGTGGTAAAACACATTTTTCCTGGATCGCCAAGCATGGGGGGAGGAGGCAGTGAGGAGAGGTGGGGAACTCACATCTGAGCTCTTGAGTGAGACTTGAAGGGCAGATGTATCCAGGACCCCATAGTGGGGGTTGTGTCTGTTGGCTGTGAGCAGACCACAGTAACTGATGTGGCAAAATGTTAGGTCCTCTCTGTCTCTCTGTCTCTCTGTCTCTCTGCCTCTCTCTCTGTCTCTCTCTCTCTCTCCTCTCTCTCTATCTCTCTCTCTCTATCTCTTCTCCTCCTTCTCTCTCTCTCTCTCTTTCTCTTTCCCTCTCTCCCCTCTCTCACTCTTGTTTAGTGATTATCTGAGTGAACGAGTTCATCATTTTCTTTTACAAAAACAAGCCCAGACCACACCTCTTTGTCTTCAGGGTGGACAGTGTGTAAAGTTAAAGGAAGTCCCTCCCTGTCTCTGCCTCTGAGTCTGCCTTAAAATACCAAGAATTTTAATGAGTTGCAGTGGACAAGTCTCCCTAATGGTCTCCATGGTCTCCATCCCGCCCATCCCCACAATGGCCACCCTTCTAGAGCACCCAAAATCTTGAAGGGTGTGAAAAATTGTATGTGTTCCCCCTAGCTTCTCAATAAATCTTGATTTTTTTCCAGAATCTAAAAACTATACAAGGAAACTATTTTTAAATGACTGCTCGGTTTTGGTGACCCGAGACCTCCTTACTTTAAAAGAGCAATATACTTTAAGTCCAAAGTGTTTCACACCAGAGCCTAAACGCTTCACGTTTAAAGGGGACATTAGATGTGGAATTATCTCCAAGATACTCAAAGGCTAATTTTGTTCTGGGAGATTTCTTTCTTCCCTCCCTCTCCTTACTTCTATAATAGAATTGCTCTCTTGAAGCTGCGTAGAAACAACCAAGGCCTCAACAACAGCAAATGTCTCTGATCCCTGCTCTCTCTGAGCGGACGGGCAGCGAACGGGCAGGCATTGTGAGGAAGGCAGTGTTGGTAAATCAGTTCCAAAGGGGGCAGGCAGTGCAGGTGCTGTTTAATGTTTAGAACGCACAGCTGGCTGGTGGGAAACTCCCGACAATAATGATCTGTAACTCAGAGGAGCTCAGACGCGGAGGTGATTACAATGTGTGTAGTGGAATTGTCTCTGCAGAGAATGTTTTCTGCTTATGGTGCTACAGTGTAACAGTGCAAACTAAATGGTCATGGGCTGTCGCATGGTCTTCACCTTAGGGATCATCACACACATGTTACATAAAACAAGAAAGTTTCCTTAATTCCTTGGTTCCTGCTTAGTTTGCCATTGTCAGCTGTCTCCTTGGGCTGACTTTTTAAATTTTGTAACACTTTCATACACAATACTGTGAAAATGTCGGCTGAAGCTTAACTCTTTTTTGCAACACAGAAAAGGCACCTCTGGGCTTAGCCAAAGACACACTTTTTTTTTACATTTATTTAGATTTCAGTTTTGGCATATTAGAACCAAAAGAAAATAATCACCAAAAAAGCATTAAATAAGGGTCTGTGGAAAATCTGTCACCGCCTTTCAGTAGGTGGATAAAACACTAACAATTTGGTTATCCTAGTTGAGATTTTCACTGTATTTAGACAACAACACTTTGCAAGGAGGCTTGACACTTTTTCCTGTGTTGTGTGTGGTTTGAGAGTGCTTTTGAAGTAACTGGCAACACTCATGCCAACAAACGTAGAAGAGCAAAGTTTTTCTTTCCATCTCTGATTCCATCTCAACACAAAAGAACTATTGAATAATTGAATAATTTTTATACTAGGAAGCCTGAAAGCCAGTCACAAATTTGGGGCCCCCAACCAGTAACACTGTGAAAACGATCGATAAAATAAAGAATCAATCCATCTAAAGTTTAAGCATCAGGATATGGCCAAGGTGTCACCATTTTGGGTCCTGTTTGTGAGTTTTTAGTCTCTCCCTTAACATATGGGACATCTTATAATATTTTTCTGTAACTCTGTCAGGAGATTCTTTATGGGATAAAGGAATATCAGAAATATATTCATTTTCAGAATAGTTTAAACCCATTGTGACTAAATGTGTTTATTTAAAATATCTTGCTATACAACATTGGGCAAATTTGATAATTCTCACAGATTTGTTGTTGTTGTTTGAGATGCAGTCTCTGCGTTGCCTGGCTGTGAGGAAATCACTATGTAAGCCAGAGTAACTTCAGTATGAGGTGGTCATCTGGCCTCTACCTCTGTAATCTGGAGTTAGCGGCATGTACCACCATGCCTGGCCCTGAAGTAATAGTAATGTATTTTGTTTCTCCAACTGAAAAGCGTTTCTAAGATATTCACCAAGTCCACTTTATTTCAAACATTAACTCTTCATATTTGACAACATATCATCTCTTCCATCTATGACATACATGAAGCCTAAAATCATTTGAAAACCACAGACACTAATTTGACACGTGTTTCTACATTTTATTCACTTGTCCTTTCCGTGTGGTTTTCTGAGACTAACTAATACTTTCAGGTTCAGGAAAGGGCTGTAATCTATGCGTGCATTCTTCCTGTGCACCCATATATATGTAGGGATAAACCAACTGTCTGGGAGTGAACTTCAAGGCCAGCGAATCAAACTCAGAAATGGAGATACCCCCCTTCTGCCTGCAGAAGCCCACTTTCTCCGCAGCATATCGCTTAACTTGGGCCATCCCAAGCTGAGACTGTGGGGGACTTTAACTACCTATCAGGTTTTGCTGGACCAACCAATGGTTTCTCAGGTAACAAAACTCACAGTTTCTTCCCTTTATGCTTCCTTTTCAAGCTTGTTTTGAAAAACAACCATTCATTCAGGAACAGCTTGATGGAGAATGATGTCCTCTTACACCACCTGGAGACACATCTTCTAGACTTAATAGTCTAGAAGTACAGGTGACACCATGCAACATGGCAAACTTCTCTAAAGGCAGAGGTCTGTTCACTCAACTAAATAAGAAGCCATTTGCCTTATGGGCTGGATGAGCTGTAACTGATGTGTCAGCTGCCCCAAGAGCCAGCAGTTGTGGCAGAATCTTATTTACTCCTCCACCATACAATGTTTATTGGAAAGTCCTATATTCCAAATGCTACAGCAAGCGTGGGAAGAAGTAACAAAATTACACTTCACCACTCAAATCCAGCAGTGTATGTCTACATGATCACAGAGAGGCTCAGGGAACACCCCCAAAAGCAAAGTCTCATTTTTTTTTATACAGTTGTTTAAGTCTGAGAGAGGACAATGCTGTCCTATACTCTATGAACGTACTACCAAAGGGAGATTTTTTTATAACAGGGCCAGCCATAGTATAGTCCTATGCTCTCGTCTTTTACATCTGGAGTTTGGAGGCATCCTGGATGGTGTCAGCACCTCTACTCCGTTTTATATTCTGACTCACTTTGATGTGATCTTTTAGTCTAGTTATTCCAATTCTCCTAGGCCAGTGAGCACAATTAACCTAACAGATACACTGTAATGGTTACAAGCAGCTCTCATCCAAACCGGTAGGAACCACAAAGAAAATACCATTGTGTAAGAAGCAGAAAGAAATCTCAAGCTTTGAAGAAACTGGTGAGCAGTAAAGTGCAAATTACAATCTTCACATTATTGGTCAACTGGCAAAAAAAAGTGGGGGGTGCCAAAAAATAAGGGCAGTATCTGGGATGGTGGTCCTGAGGGAGCACAGTCTTTATGGGGTAACCTTTAAACCCTCAGGCCCCCCCAAACCTTCCAGTTGTAATTTACATGCGCCACAAGAAGACATTAGGCAGAAGCTTCAAGCCTTGTGCCCTTGCAAGCTGTGTGAAAGCCAGTGTGTAAGACCGCTCACCCAAGGGCAGGGAGGGCGGAGGCTGCAGAGAAGTCATCATTAGTGTTCCTGTCTTGCAAGAAAGCCAAACGTGGGAAATCTTTATTTCTAAATTTCTGTCTGTTCCAGAATCAGAATTGGTACTTTAAAGACCCCAGAACACTAGTGGGAACAGCTCTCAGTCCGGCCCCCAGGTAGCTTTCTGAAGTAACTACTTCATGACTCTCATAGACCTGTTATGACTCTCCCCCAAGCCTCTAAGAATGCGTAATGGATTCAAGGGAAAGAACACTCAGCGGCAGTGGGTGGACATAAACTGTTGTATTTGAAAAATAATGAAAAGTAGAACTGGTTCTTATTCAGTTAAACTTCCTTACCAACCCAACCAAAAGTTAAATTTTATAAGGTTACCAGTTTACAATCTATTGAACAACATTTAATAATATTTAAATAGCATCAAGACAATAAATATGTGGACGCCTCACACAGTTTTTAAAAACCCATCTAGGCCCTTTAAACTTTCGAGTTGGAAGCAAAGGAGGAAGCAAAAGTAACAGAGACGACGATGAAAGAGAACACTACCAGTGTCCAAGGAGAAAACAAATCTCTAGGTCCTGGTCCACTGCCCAGGGGTTTACACTCCAAACTCCCCCCACACAGTGTGCTGGGTCAACAAACACCCATACCCCAAGTAGCTCGAGGTCATTTATCAGAAGTGTTCTATCACACAAATAACCCCACATTCAGCTACAGATGGCAGAGACTCAAACTGCTAGGCTATTACTAACAGATTTTCTTTTGTTTGTATTTCAGGGTTTTGGCACAAAAGGGATTGTCTATGCTTCTCAGACCATCTAGCTTTAGATCCAAAAAAAATTCCATTCCAATGCGTAAACAGCAGCATGCCAGAGATGCCTCTGTCCGTAAGGGTTAGGGATATCGGCTGCAGAAGCTGTGAGTGTGCGCATTGGTTGGGTTCACTTTCACGGCCCTGGCTGCGCTATTTCGTTAGATAATGAGATGGGCTGCCCTTTCTGTCCGTCACTAGAGCAGCTGGAGACAGCGTTTGCTACCTGGCAGAACTTCCGAAGAAGGATCTTTCTCAGCAGCAGGTAAACCCAGGGGTCCAAGATCTGGTTCAGCGAAGCCAGGCGCACTGCAATTAGAAAGGAATTGCACTCCTTCTCCTCTCCCGTCTGTGTCTTGCACTGCTCAACGGACGTCTCGTTGAAGATCATTTTCAGCATCATTATCTAAGAAAGAAGGACAGACAGTTGTTGCAAAGCTTGACAAGATCACAGACATCTCTGCAGCACGCCCGACACACACTGTCTTCCTAAGCTCACTGCTAAACTGAGTGTTGGCCCCAACACAGCAAGAGACCACCACTCCGAGTTCAGACTGTTCTGTGAATTGTCCCACAGTTTTGGCCATTTGACACAATGTGATTTTGTAAAACTTTGTGTGTGTTCAGCTAGGCAGTAGTGGTGCACACCTTTAATCCCAGCACTCAGGAGGCAGAAGCAGGTGGGTCTCTGTGAGTTCAAGGCCAGCCTGGTCTCCAGAGAGAGTTCCAGGACAGCTAGGGCTGTTACACAGAGAAACCCTATCTCAAACAAAACAAATCAAAAAAATGTGGGTTTTCAGGTTCTTGGCTTTTGAAATTATAAAACAAAAACAAAAACCTGTCCATAACACATCTCAAATCAGCCAAATTCACAGTAGGATGGCAGCCAGATGACACCTAATACCTCAGCAATAATGAAGACATATTAAATATAAATTCTAGTAATTCTAATTAAAATCTATCATTAAAGAAAAAAGTAGAAGGGGAAAAATACAACCACATTATTGTGATTCCCAATGTTGTTTTGTTGTTGTTGTTTTCCTAATATGGGTACTGTGGGAGGTTACTCATATGCATTTAATAAACTTATAAACTTATGGTTACTACCACATCCCTTTTACAATTACAAAATAAACATGGTTTAATGATGCAAAGTGGCTGAACCAAACTCAAATTTAAGTTCATTAAGACTACATGCTATACCGGGCAGTGGTGGCACTCGCCTTTAATCCCAGCACTCGGGAGGCAGAGGCAGGCAGATCTCTGTGAGTTTGAGACCAGCCTGGTCTACAGAGAGAGTTCCAGGGCAGCCTCTAAAGCCACAGAGAAACCCTGTCTCAAAAAACAAAAACAAAGAAACCTACATGCTATGGCATGGGAGAGATGGCTCAGAGGTTAAGAACACTGGCTGCTCTTCCAGAAGACTTGGGTTTGATTCCCAGTACCTATATAGCAGCCCACAAACATCTGTAACTCCAGTTCCAGAGGATTTAATGTCCTCTTTTCGGGTCTCTCCGCAGGTACTACACACATGTGGTCTATATACATACATGAAGATAAAAACACTCATTCACATAAAGTAGATATAAAAAAACTTCATGATGCATGCTATTTTACTTTTATCTCCTTTTTGGGGGGGGAGGTCATCTAGATGTTAAACTCCAGGATGGTGGGCATTTGGAGTTATTCCTTGACTAATATAGTCCCAGTGACTAGAGTTGAGGATAGCAGGCAGGCATCTAACAAATGTTTGTATTTCAAGGGCTATAGTATGGTACATATAAAAACAACACTATGAGGCATATACAAATATGTTTACATTGGAATTAATAGGTATACATGGGCGAATGTCTGCTATTTTCGCATAAAGAAAAAAGTAAGGGTCCTTAGGCATATGAGAAGATGTTTAAAATCACTAGTCATCAGAAAAACTAAACAAGTGGAGGAGGAAGAAGTATCTCACACTCACGAGACGAAAATGAGGGACTGTGGCCACCAGAAGTGTGTCTTGAGAGGCGGGGCAAAGGGGACCCCCACACACACACACAGGGGGATCGGCGGTGAACCCTGGAGAAAGCATGGAGAATGCAGTTTGCAATCGTGTCTCCGCCCCAGCAATGCTAAACCACACCGTTGGGTCTTTCTGAGCAGAAGTGGCGTGTGCCGCACTCAAGCGATAAAGACAGGCAGGGATGACCCAGATTCCAGTTTATTAACAGGGGTAAAGACAAGGGCTGACTTCACCTACCTAGGTCTATATAACTACTAATCACGTCCTCTCACCGGTGTCTTAGTTAGGGTTTCTATTGCTTGGATGAGATTCCATGACCAAAAGCTGGCAAGGAAAGGGTTTATTTGGCCTACACTTCTACCTCATTGTATACGATTGCTGGCTCTTCTTCTGGATCACAAAATGTGGCCGTGGGCTGTGGCGGCGTGGGCGGGACAGCTGGCCCTGAGGTCAGATGGGCTCAAGAGCTGCCTCTGCCTGGCCAACAGCTACAACACTCAGGAAGGCAGGGCCCCGCGTGCGCATCACCTGAGCAGTAGAGCCTTTAAAACCCCCCTTGGCAGAGGTGTGGATGAGCCATCCCTGAAGCTGTGAGCATAGGACAGGCATGGGAGAGCTGACCCCGTTACTCATTTGTCATGTGGCAGTATGGGCAGGGGAGAGATGCCTTCTCCACCCCCCCCCCACCCCACATCAACACCCAAGGCAGGCGGGAGAGCCGGTCCTGCTTCTCATCAATTGCAATTGCGGCACCCAGGAAAGTAGCCAGTAGGCCACTCTTGGGCAACGCAGTTAGAGCCGGCCCTGAAGGTGTGGGGGGATCGGACCCGGAGGACGCGGAAGAAGGACGGGTCCTGCCCCTCGCTCATCGCTGCGTAGGGGTGAACTCGCCAGGACGATGCCGAGGAAGAGCTCATTGCGGTGAGATCAAGGGAGAGCTGGCATGTCCACCAACCCTGCCACTAACTACCCAGGCACAGAACCAGGGTTATGTTTCGGCTCACCCCAACACCCCCCCCCCCACCTCCGCCATCTGTGATCTGCTGGAACACGTGAAGGGACGGGTCCTTAAGACCCAAACCTGCAGGGTTTCCACAACACAGGGCAACATCTGGATAACCAAGAGGGGTTCCAGTGAGGGCCCAGCATCGATTGCGTAGCGGAAGCCAGAGGCCTCCAACCAGACCAGACTCTTTGTAATGCACACTCACAAGTAAAGATACACAGATAAGAGGGTTTACTGCGAGACTCGCTGTGTCACACTGCAGCTTCCGAGATGAGACCGATTTCTTTTTCCTTCTCCCTTTTTCTTTTTTCCCTTAAATTTTAATTTTATTTCACAGGGGAGGTTGCGAGGGCAGAGGGCGGATACGAAGGGACGGGGAAATCAATGGGACGGAGACGCGTTGTGTGAAAGACAACAAAAAATAAGCAAGATAAAATGTGGCTGTGGAAATTGTAATTAAATGTCCCAGATTTAATTCGACATTCCTTGGAAACCAAAGGACTCCTGACCACACATTCTCTTTCACAATTCTTCGGAGTCACCAGCAGACTCTTGCCTCACCCTGTGCAGGGTCTTTCACTCTGGCCTCAGTCTCGCCCTAGTGCAGACTCTCCCACACACATTCGGAGTTGGAGCAGTAACGGTCCCCGCGGCTGGTCCTACCGCGCAGTGAATGTCTGTGTTTTCTAGAGCTCATGTCTGAAGATCTGACACCTGCTGCGATGGTGCTGGACCTGCAGCTTTGGAGGGGGTAACTCAGTTTAGATGGGATTAAAAGGCGGGAGCCCCCTGGGATGGGATTAGGGTCTTCATGAGGAGAGTGGGAGATACCAGGTCCTGTCCTAGCTATGAGGATGCAGCCTGAAGGCAGCCATCTGTCTCAGTCATGGGGAACTAAACCAGGAAGCCCCTTGGTGTCCCCAGTGTCCAGAACTGTGGAAATAACAAATAAAAATGCTAGTGTAGATACCAGAAAAGGGGACCTTCATTCTTCACTGTTGGTGGGAGCAAAAACTGGCACAGATATTGGAAATAAGTGTGGAGATTGTTCAATAAGCTATCAATACATTTGCCGTGTCATTTAAAGTGCAGCATCTTAAACTGTGGGGTTGTAACCCCATATGAGGTCACGTCACTGAATGTGGAGGTTGTGAAAAAAATAATAAAATAAAAATACAGCAGTAGGAAAAGACCGTTGCATGTGCGATGAAAAAAACATAAGTGAGCCCCAGATATTTCTAGATGTGCCCGCCTGAGCTATCTCCAGTATTGCACTGCAGCTCTGGTTTGGATACACGTAACACGTGTGCTCTATATCACTTGAGGCCTACACACAGTGTCTTAAAACACCTCAGCTCAGACTTGAGACTACGGTGTTAGGAATCACAGGGTTTTCCCTGCACATACAGGTTCTCTGTGCTTACAGAAACAGGACGATTTTCTTGCAGAAATAGACTTTTACTGTTTTCTCACTGTCCCTTAACAGGGATCTAATCAGTATGTCTTTGAACTGTGCTGTAATGTTTGGGATTAAAAATGAATCTGTTTTAAACTTAAAAACACCTATATGGCGGAAGAAAGAGTCAAAGGTCAAAAGGGATGAGAGGAAATACTTGGCAGCTATATATCCTAATGGCAGATTGATATCTACAATACGCAGAGAACTCAAAAACCAAAGCATCAAGAAAGCAGACAACTCAACAAAGAATGTGGGCTTTATACTTAAACGGAGTTTACCAAAAGGCCAAGAAAATGTTTCTTAAAGTTTTCTCCATCCTTATTAACCAGGAAAATGCAAATCAAAACTCTGAGATTTCATCTTAACGTAGTCATGGTGGTAAGATGAAGAAAATAAATAATAACAATCGCTGGTGTAGATACCAGAAAAGGGGACCTTCATTCTTCATGGCTGGTGGGAGCGGAAACTGGTACATATATTGGAAATAAGCGTGGAGATTCTTCAATAAGCTATCAATGCATTACCAAGCCTGGGCGTCCTCCCAAAGGACTCAATATCCTGCCCTAGAGACACCGGCAGACCCCTACTTATCCGTGCTCATTACTGTTCTACTCACAATAGCAAGGGGTTGAAAACAGCCCGTATGTTTACCAACTGTCGAACATGCAGCGAAAATGGGTGAAATATACATGGTGCAACTTTATTTAGCTGTAAAGAGAAGTTAAGTTACTAAATTTGCGGGTGAATGGGTCAAAGAGGAAAACTTTATGCCAAGTGAGGTTACCCAGGTCCAGAAAAGCAAATGCTACATTTTCTGTTTTATATCAGGGTCCCGGCTTCCAGTCTTCACATTTATGTGTTTAACCTGGAGTATCGGTAAGTACCAGTAACTGAAAGGGGCCATGGGGAGATCGGGGAGTAAAACACAAG